AGAAACTATGTTTGACAGAAAGGTTAAAACTGCAATTGATGCCATGAAACCATAGGAAAATGGCATAGGAAGAGGAAAGCTTAAGATGGAAACTCATTTTAATCACCATAATAATAATAGATATTCTGAAAATAATATTTACAGAATTCACACCAGTTTACAGGCATGATCAGATTGTTATAAAAATCAACATTTAATGTAGAGAGCAAACATGAAATATAAGATGAGATGGCTCAGAATCAATCACAATGGCGTAGGTTTATACAATCTTTAACTTCCCTTATACCTTCAGATTAAAATTGCTTCATTACTTTCTTCCTTCCTATACTATATCCTTATATACAATCTTTCTTTTGTATAGATTACCACCACTAAGTTTACTACTTCTATGAATTCGGTGTTCATCTGGTTGTGCTAATGAGTGAGGTATGTCAACTTGGACCGATGTGTAAATGTGCCTGGTCCTACGTTGGTTTTTGTTACTATGAAAGATATTTTTTAGTTAAATTTTTTATTTTTAAATATTCTCCATAACAAGAATATGGATGAGCACATACTTCTAAATCACGTGTTGTATTACCAAAATTCTTTCCAACATGATATTGATAACCTATTCACAAAATAGAAATAAAAAAATGAAAATTGACAAAATTGTTCTTTTCATAGTTGAAATCATGAGTCGATTGAAGCTAGACCACTATGAAAAAACTGGAAGCACTTTACGGCCGTTTCGTCCTTTTGTGGGACACTTTGGTGGCAGTGCACATCCACGATCCCGCACTCGCGAGATTTGAACCCAGGACCTACCAGTGTTTTTTAAATAATAATTTTATAGGCTACAAAATCAGTTTTTGAAGGTGTTTTTTTCCCCCATTATGACAGCAATAAAACGGAGTCTTTTCAAGGTTCCATTGTCGTGTGGTCTACTTATATCCATATAAGTAGTATATGGTGTATGTCAGACATAGAATGGATTTTCGCAGAAGACCGATGACGAAAGAACTGAAATGAAACGCAAACGTCTGGAAAATGCATGAACAATGGAATAAGAGAAGAAACAGTGAAGACTGAAACAATTGGTTGTTAATTTGCAAATTGACTGTTCATTGTTTGGTAATCAGAATTTACTGAGATAGTCTGTAATTTTTGCTTAATTACATCCGATTGTTCCCAACTATTGTTCTGTTCACTAAACCATAACTGAATACAACTTTATACAATTGACAATAGATATCAATGTTTGTGAAACACATTTACTTACTTACGTACTCACTTACGTACCTACTAACGTGCGTATTTACTTACTCACTTACTTACTTATGTACTTTGGTACTCACTTACCTGGAAGCACTGGACGGCCGTTTCGTCCTTTTGTGGGACACTTTAGTGGCAGTGCACATCCACGATCCCGCACTCGCGAGATTTGAACCCAGGACCTACCAGAGCTTTTTTAATAATAATTTTATAGTCCACAAAATCAATTTTTGAGGGTGTTTTATTCTCCAATTAAGACTGCAATAAAACGGAGTCTTTTCATGATTCCATAACTGAATACAAGTTTATACAATTGACAATAGATAACAATGTTTGTGAAATACATTTACTTACTTACGTACTCACTTACGTACCTACTAACGCGCGTACTTACTTACTCACTTACTTACTTATGTACTTAGGTACTCACTCACCTACTTACTTACTTACTCACTTACTTACTTACGTACTCAATTACTCACCTACTTACTTACATTCGCCTGTTACTCCCAATGCAGCATAGGCCGCCGAATATCATTCTCCACATGAAGATTGAATGTGATATTTAAGAGTTTTGTCTCTCATAAACTACAGTTTGAATCTTCACAAACTTAAATCATCATTTTTATTACTTAATTCATTTAAGAAACATTTCATATAAGCAAACATGGATAGTGGCTAGCAGTGAAATCCAGCACAAGCGTTTCCTTCTATTTGCGACTCGTCAGCTGGATGTACCTACATCTCAGACTTGATATTCACTCTGAGACTAAAACCAAGAACCTTTCGCTTCAAACGCCATCGCGTTATCCACTCGGCCACCGAGTCCTGATAGCCACTTCCTTGTGCGATGGGAAGATTCAAACAAACAATACTAAATGAACATTTCATATAGTTTAACAAGACTCATTCATACAGTTTAACCATGAATAAACATAACTGTGGTACGAATAAAGATTGATAAGATGAAATATAAAACAGAACATTTAAATGACTAAATAATCATCAATTACCATGATGAAACTGAAATATCTCTCTATGTCATTTTGTTATATCAAGCGTGTGATGTGGATTACTTATATCCATATCAGTAGTATATGGTGATGGTCAGACATAGAATGTATTTTGGCAGAAGACCGATAAGGAAAGAACTGAACTGAAGCGTAATTGGTAGGAAAATGCATGAACAATGAAATTAGAGAAGGTGAACTTATATTTACAGAAGGAATAGTAAAGATTGAGACCACTGATGGTTATTTTGCAAGTTAACTGTCCATTGTATGGTAATCAGAATTTAGTGGGATAGTCTGTAATTTTTTCCTTAAATACATTCAATTGTCCCCACAGTTGTGTTCTTGTTCACTACATGTGCAAGAGAACTGACAAGTGTTTTTCACCATTTTAGGTTTACTTGACTGAAATGGTTACCTAATATGCTTGGATCATTTGGTTACTTATATAAAAACAAAAAAGTTCCATAGTAACAAGTAGATTACATCACTTTAATCTAAATAATAATAATAAGAGTAGTTCACTTACCATGTATATGACCTTCATAATCTGGGATCATACCTTCTTGATGAAATATTCTTGCACTATAATAATTACTATTTGGTGTATATGGTATTGAACTATGTGGACGTGATGAACTAAAAATAAGAAATGACAATTTCAATGTAGAAAATATGGCATTCAAATGGTAAGATCATATTCAACTACTTAAATTACAAAAAAACCACTAAGCCAGCCGGCAGCCAACGGTGTTAATGTCTAACTTCAACTAATCCACGAAATTGAGCAACCATTCATCGATGTCTTTAGTGAGTTGATACCTCACAACAGACCTGCTTGAACTTCACTGGTTACTGCTTATCACTAGAACTCCAAGAAACACCTCTTGGAACCTGTCACTAGTGAGCATATGATCATTATTAGAAGGGGGTTTTGTGTAGATTTAAGTTAGAGAATTGGTTAGAGAATCTATAAATATCAATGTTCATTGAACATTGATTTTGTGCTAGCTAGAAATATTTTACCAACAGCATCCTATTTGGTCCTGGATTTTAACTGATATTGTATTCAGAACATAATGATATAGTTTGTACGGTAAATGGGCATAAGTGGAATTCGTGAGACGCATTTTGTCATATTTCAGACTTCTGTGCTAGATGTACCTGCATCGCTGTATCTATTTTCATACCGACACTCAAATTTTGTACTTATCACTCCAAGTTTTATTCATTGGCCTACTGATTTCACATAGTCAATCACTAACTTGTTAAGCAGGTTGTAATTTGGTATTGTTGATACTCAAGAACTATCGTTGATAATTTTTTCATCGTTTGCACAAGTTCAAAAGAATACCATTCATGAGTTTGTGTACTACTGGATATTCATATTTACATTGATTATAATTGAAGAAACAATTTATTGTACTTCTTTGTATGCTTATTATTTTGTGCATAAACCTATACTACTTATAAATATTCAGTAGTTTTCAGTTTGCATACAGTAGTACATGATTTGTTCTGTTCGGAAAAAGAAACAAATGCCCTGTATTTTCAATCATTTAGTTCATTATTCATTTCTATTGTGCTATTTCTTTCTCCATTCAACATTTCATATTCTTGTTTGTTCTCTTCTTTGGAACCTTATTTGTTGCTATCAATCGACTTAATTTATAGATTAAGAGATTAATTTACTTTCATCAAAGTCTTACGGTTCCCCTTGATATGATTATTTGTTATCATTTAACATCTATGGTACATGTTCAAATTTAATTGTGATGAAATTGTTCGCAGAGCACAATTTTATATGACTATATCTTGAGGGCGTGACTGATACCGTAACATATGAGATATGTACATACTAAGTGACGTTATTGTTTACCATTATAAGACTGTATTTCAAAACAAATATAGTGCCATTATTTCTGGAATCTTAAGTATAACTTAGTCTTTAAGTTGAAGTCTCATCAAGGAATCTTGATATTCCATGTTGATGATGATTAAAACCACCTACTGATCAATTTAATCAAAAAGATTGATTTAGATAATATAATGAGAAAACGGATGCAAATTATCTTTGGACATTACTTCTAGTTAGTGTTTTTTTAGCGAGTTGGTTTTCTACGGGATGGGGTCGCTAACCCCATGCCCAACCCCCCTCCTTTACTCGGGCTTGGGACAAGTAATAGCCCTCGGAGTAGCTACAGGCGGACATACTTCTAAATATCTAGTAAGAACAGATCAATTCCATTAATCTAATAAGAGATAATGCAAACTTTTCTTCTGTCATTTGTAACCACTGCTGAAATGAGTTACAAGATGAATCTTAAATCACACATTTAGTTTTCGTATAAAAGTTACTTAACCCAAATATTCAGGTTACCCAAAGCTGTAACTATACAAAATTCAACCTTTCTCTGTGTCTTTACAATAAACCCACACTGGAAATATTGATTTCATTTCAATATTTAGAGAAGTGTTGTTCGTATTACTTTCCCATTGTTAGAAACAAGTTCCTTCTATACAAACTACTCTTTGTATGTCTGGCAGGAAGAAACCTCCTACTATTCTGACTTCTCATCTTTACAGTTTCATCTTTTGTTATATTGAATCAATTCATAATAAGAACAAAACGGCTTAACGTTTACCTTTATTCTTTACACAAACGGTATATAAAATCTTTTCAACTTACGTATCTAATCTAGTCATCGGCATATCCACATGATGAAAATGAATTTTTCATTCAGCTCTAAATGTTTCTAAACTACTTTGAGCAGCTTCATGAAAACGTTTAGCTAAACCACTTTCTGTTGTATCCATACGAGGTATAAAACCTTTATAACCTGGAATAGGTGGTTCAGTTGAACTCATATACGAATGAACATCAGAATTCTTCTTAACCATATCATCAGTCCATATATTTAAATGATTCTTAACTAAAGGATCATATGTTACAGGATGAAGATTAGTCATCAAGTTGGATGATTCTTTCAATCTGTTTTGTCTTAACTCAGAAGATTTATATTCTTTAACTAATTGATCAACGCATTCATCAGATAGATTACGATATGTTCGACCAAATTTAAAATTCATTTGTGGTATATTACCTAAAAAATAATAATCATTGAAATAGTGTATGAATAGTGTATACATACCAGAATATCCTGGTACCATTCCTTCTGTATATTTATTATCTCCTGTTGATTTTGGTAACATTCTTCCAGGAACATCATCATTAAACTTAGTTCTTAATGGATCAAATTTATTATTCTCCCTAGTAACAGGGTAAAAATGATGTGATCCCTACGGGGAATCAATCATTTATGAGATAATAGATAATACTCACTTGAATTCTTGGCCCAAAATAATATGGTAGATTCTATATAATTTAAAATAAGTTCATTCAAACAAACAAACAAGTTACTTTAGCTATTTCTGATGTTTCTTTACCAAAAGTATGACCATATCTATATTTAAATTGTGGACAAAATCCCATATATCTAAAAGTAAAATTAAAATTAAGTTACACAAATTTGATTGAATTTAATATTCATCGAAGTCCAAATGTCTGTAGACTTTAAATGATTTACTCTTACATGAATGTACAAATAATATTTATATTAACCAACTAATCAGGTGTACATGACCAACCTTTATTTGTCAGTCAGTTAGTCAGCTACAACGTAGGATCAGGCACATTTATGCATCGGTCCAAGTTGCCATACCTCGTTAGCAGTGATTTTAATCTTAAGGTTTAAAGGAATATAAAGAGTGTATACACTTTCATTTGTACGGAATCGTCATAGTGAGATTTTACGACTATCTGTAAATCTCATGCTAAAGCTACTAAATTTATGGTTTAACTTTACAATCTACTGTCAGCACTTTCATTCATAGCCCCAAAATGCCCTGGTACAACTATGAATGTGTAGTCCCCTCTCTCTCTCTCTCAAAATGCTCTCACATGGCCACACGGATATAGCCTCTACCACCGAAGTCCTACTCACTGCCTTCTCGTGGCATTACTGTTGTTTACGAAATTGGGAGGACGAAAAGAGAATGTCTGGTGCTGTAATCGGGTTGGTGGATGTAGAGTGTCCACCTAGGGGAGTTGGAAAACCCTGATTCCAAACCAATAGTGCAAATAGGCTCCATTTTCAGATTAATTTACACTGTCTTAAATCTAAAATGTATCTCCGTTGCAATTACTAACTACTAGAAATAGATCAACAAATTACTATGTCTATTGTTTTTTCTTGTAGTACGATGACACATTCATCAAGGAATAACCTATATAAAATCGGACCTCAATTCTTTTTGGAGACGAATAAATTCTAACAGGAACTCCACATAAGCAACTTTAATCTATCAAATAGAGTCTCATGGAAAATAACATCTTTTTTAAAGAAAACCAAAATTTACATCTTTAAGACAACTCGAATATCTGAAAAACTATGAGATGAACTTAATCTCTCATTTCTAATTCATATGACCAAATGTCAATCAATGAATATACCGATTTCGGGTTACATTTACTTCATATCCATTTCTTACGGCTATTTAATGATACACTTTTAGATTTCACGGATTTTGACGGAAAGAACAGAGAATAACAGCAATGATGAGATCATAGTGAATGCTTATCCATCCAAAACGTCATTATTTAATTGTCGACTACAGGACTATGCTGACACACAAAAAACCCGAAATTACTAGTAAATGATCCTCAGATGTACTTAAAAATATTAATGTGGCTTTATCTGAAACCCTCAACCTCTTTTAATGAAATTATAGCACTGACCACTATTCCTTAGTGTTTTCTTATCAGATGTATGAATATAGAAATAAATAAAGACAACTAGGCAAAGTACAATAAATTGGAAGAGTTAACGTAATACCAATTTCATTTGTACCAAGATAATAATGTATTTTATGTGTTTCTTAAATCCTGAACAAAACCAACACTAAAATCTATAAAATAGAATATTTGCACAAAGATCCAAGTTTATCAAGTTAAAAACGATAACACGAATAGATAACAAGCGCGTACACCAAGCATAGTGTGCATCGTAGTTTAGAACATGTCGTTGGTGTTTAAATCCATACGCCCAGTTAATTAAGGCTATAAAAACAGACAACATCAGAGTTGTATCTTAAACATCCATCGAAAAACTTAGTTTGATGAATCCCTTACCTTAACAACCCACACGTGTTTCTTTCAGCTACAATATGGCACTACTAATTTACCGACTTAACTGTTGAAGACGTGTTGGGTTTAGTATTCTTATATTCTATATTTAGGTTAACATCATTCCTCTAGTAAAGCACGGACTAAGCGTTTTAAATTGTACTTTGTAGTACCAATTGACAATTACATGATTCACGAAAGCTGTTGAATGAACTTTAGTACCTTAAACAGCACCTAACTTTGATTTATTTTAACTTTCACGTTAACCCTGTTCTTTTTATATGAAAATGTGCGCTTCAGCTGACATAGATTCCTTACTTTTTGTCGTTCTATTTCCGCACTTATGAGCCTTGTGTGTTTGTCTGTCACTCATTGATTTATACAATGCCTGCCTCTTTGCCACACTACCAACTGTCCGTTTTGAGCTATATTAACGTTTTTAACGAGTAGTATAGCGAGTTAATATGTTTACTTTCCCCGGTTCTTCTCAGCTACATTTCTCTTATTGTCTGGCGGAACGAGTGAATAAATGTAAGTATCCAAAACCCATTCCCGTACTCAACGCATCTCATCCTATTATTCTCTAACGTGAGTCAAGTAAAATCAAACTGCAGCTAGAGCAACAAACCACTAAAAATCAAGTCACAAAGACATGATTCTGATATTCTTTAAACACCAAACACTGTATTCCAAATCAAATAACACTTCTTATGAGGACGACAAGTTGAAACCCCTCAACCCATTAGTCTCTATTCCATATACATTTGGAAAAGATATTGTGTATGCACAATCCTAATATGTATATTTATGAGTGTGGCTAATTAAAACAATTTTTCGAAATTCATGTGCCTTACGTTTTGATCAAAGCCAAGTACATGAACCCGTACTTACTAAATAATTAAGTAGAAAATAATAACAAATATATGACTTAGTGGATTTAGGTTGAATGGAATAGAAGAAAAGCGTTCAGCTTGTGTTTGTCTTCTGTTTACCTTACTCTGGTATCATAACAAAAGTGATGGCAGTCTATCCATAGAAGGAGAAACATACAGTAGAACGAAAGGGAGTTTGAGCTCCACGGCATTCAACATCATTGTACGAATTGTTTTTTCGTATATACCACTTATGACTCATCTGATGATTTTTATTTACTATGCTTGATTCGATTGTGCATTGTGCTAGATTTTTAAAGTATTAAGCTGTCATTCAATTGTTTGCCAACTTTGACATCTGTAGTTATGATGTCGACTAAAATCACAGTCTATCTGCTTTAACACAAGCAATAGGGAGTGTCGTTAGCCCATCTTAAAATGAATTTGATAGGTGGTATTGTAAGTAGGATATGATTGATCGTCGAGTGTGAACAAGCCACCTGTGATAACAAGAAGTATTTGAATTATAGTGGAAACTAGGAATCCCAGAAATAATGCAATTTAATCAAAAAGTATTAGATGTACACGAACGCCTATATTGTATTAAGAATTCGAAATTATGCAGTCATCAAATACAAAGGAATCATCGCTTCACATAAACACCACACTTAAGACTTCTGAGATGACATCCAATAGTTTACATTTATAATTTCATTCAATTCGCAATATTGTACTACCATTTGTCCTTTCAATATCTATACTCATTTACATTGTATTTAGTTTAAATAAAACGAGTTATCCAGCTATTAGCAATACACTTCCGATCATATACACCTATGCAAAATTAAACCGATAAATGTCTGAACAATGGACGACACAGTGAAAGTAAAGACAAAAAATTCTATTCAGTGAACAATCGATAACTGAAGTAAGTCATATTAATATACAATGTAACCATGTGAAAAACAGTTGGACATTTCTTGAGCTGTCTACTGCACTCCGTGCTTGTTCTGAGATATGGAGGTCTCTGTGATGTAGTCAAACAGCTGGATAAAAAGAAATGACGAGAGTGAGAAGCCCTATTGATTGCTGTTTATTTGTTCTACCTTACATCAGCCTAAAGTACATTTCCTACAATTAAGTTTGTTCTTGTTTAGTTTTTTAAACTTTTCAAATAACTTATTTAACAGCATAATAACATTGTGAAGATCTTGACATTAGTATTATCGTGTCCGTATGAACATATTTGCTTGATCACATTTTGCATCCCTCTTTCTAGCTTGAGTGTTAGTTGCTAGATTCGCTGAAAGAATCATTCGCTTTACCATACATATAATTGTGCTTGAATGTTATTGATTCATTCGATTCTTCATTCAACTCTTAATTAGTCTTTGCATTCACTCGCTAGCCCTCACCAGCATTTCTGCTCGAATCCACTTGGTGTGCTTGTGACTTAATTATCTGTGATATTCAATGGTAAGATGTATTCGGAGCTTCGTTTCGCATTCCGAACTTTACAATCCCAGCATATGTCATTTTGAATTTATTGCTTCTTTAACCTCTTTCCAATTGTTTTTCATAGTTGTTTATGATATGGTCTGAAAATTATGATATCTGTAAAGAAAACGAAACAAAAAGTGAATGTAAGTTATTGTGGATAAAAAGAGTTTTCATAATTGAAATCATAAGTCAATTGAAGCTAGATCACCATGGAAAACTTGGAAGCACTGGACGACCGTTTCGTCCTATTATGAGACTCTTCAGCAGTGCACTTCCACGATCCCGCCTTGCGAGATTCGAACCTAGAACCTAACAGTCTCGCGCCAGAGCACTTATACGATAGAACACTGAGCTAGTCGGCATCCAATGGTGTTAATGTCTAACTTCAACCAATCCATGAAGACTTTCAACAATCGGTTTTGTGATGATGGGAAAAAATTGTAGTTCAAGTGGATGATTTTGGTGTTGTTGAGTTCTTTGAAGCTGTCGTTCTGGACGTTGCCATCAGAGCCTATTTCATTTTGAAATGAGCTGTTCAGTTATTGCATAAACACTAAATTATGTCATTGAAATGACTTTTTCCTTTGTGTTTTGCACCAATTTTCTTGGTATTCCTTTTGATCTCATGGTTGATTAAATCCCTATAGTGTAGCTAATCAGTGTATGGATTAATTGATTAGATCTACACTGTTGACTGACTTTAACATCATGCCTCTAGAAGTTCTCTATCATTTTGAAGATTCTCTCGATTGACAGTTTTGAAGTTTTCACAGCTGAGTTCATCTCCACGGTTGGTCAACCATAAAGTACCATGACGTTTCACTGATCGTTTTTACTCGTGTGTACGTAAGTGAATGGGGAGTCTAATTTGTTCAAGTAAATTTTCTGTAGGTTGGTTTAATCTAATTTGTAGTTGAAGTTGTATTTGTATTCTTTCACTGTTGTGTCTTTTGATCTGCATAGAATGGAATAAAGTGATTGTGATTGTTTGTGGAGCATATTGATCTGAAAAGGTTTTGAAATCCTTCTGGTGATTTCTGACGTGGTTCCCACATATGACAGAGCGACTTTTTTCCTGGTATATGAGCTTGGTTTTATTCAAAACAAAAATGAAAGATTCACAATTTAGAACTGTGCTGGTACCTCCTACGGGGGACACTGCCGGTTTCATCCCCGGATAAAAGAGAAGGGCTGGCATGGGGTTAGCGACCCTGTCCAGTAAAAAACTAACTCCCTAAGAAAACGCTAACCAGAAAAAAATTATTCAAACCATTTAAAGTCTGCCATGGGAGTTGAAAGAATAATTATAGCGTCTCATAATGAAAACAGAGTTCCTTCGGAAGTCATGAGGCTGATGCACCTTCCTACAAGCAGAGCAACAATTTTTATAGGTACATGAAATATCCGGACAATGTTGGGTTGTAGAATGCTGGTTGGCGGCCTATGCTCCATTGGGAGTAACAGGCGTAAGTAAGTTAGTCACAATTTAGACCATCTAAATCGGAGAACTTAACAGCACCAAAATGTGTTTAGTATTTCGTCTAAAGTTGATCATCACTTTAGAAAAGATGCAAAATTTGAATGATATTAGTAACTGACAATATTTCTCAAATGTAAATCAATTGGTTTGTTCAAAAACGATTCCTTTATCTTCAGCTATCATTTTAGTCATTTCTTTATGAATTGAATCCTGGTAAGTCATTACATCTGATGTTGAGGTAGTTACAATTGAGTATTAAATAGGTTTTTTACTGAAAATATAAATAATAATTAAATTATAAGGTAACCAACTTACTCATACTGGTGACATGACTCAGAAACACAATGAAAGGCTTATGGAGGGGGGATAGGATCTGACTCAAAACTTAGATCGTATGAATGGTTATTGTCAAAATATACATCCTGTTTATCCTCGTATGTAATACATGATGAATAACGAAGTTAAATAAGTCAAATACGGGAATGGATTTTGAATACATATACTTTGTACATTTATTGATCTGGACAGGAAATCATAGTGATGAAGCGAATAGAAGAGAGCGAAGCGAGAATAACTCACATCGTAGATGGTGGGTAAGCTAACTCTAGATAATGAAGCAAGAATGACGCACATTGGAGATGGCGGGTAAGACAACTCACTTCGACCAAACGTTAATCAATATTTATAGTCAGATAAAAATAGATGACAGATATGTGATGAGTAGGATAAGAAGATGTACACACATATACGCTCATATAGAAATAGCCAGGGTCAACAAGTGAATAATTAACAAGGTGAAAATATGACTCAAGATAGATAGGTAAATTGGCTTGTCCCCGAAGCTAGAATAAGGTAGGTATATGAGCTTAACATATCAACCAACACTACGTGCTAATTCTTTTCTTCTGTGAATGTGACCTGTACAAAACACTTGAATGTCTTTTTGAAAAATACCATCAGTTATTTCATTAACCAACATGTAGGTTCAATGTTAGGGAACAACTGTGTCAATGCCTTCTGGTTTTAACGATGACCCAGATAAAGTCATTCCATAATGTAAAACAACTACAAAATGTTTCTACTTTAAAGCAAATTCTTAGTTCAATTCATTTGTGAATTCTAATTTCCAATATAGTTTACAGATAAGATAGAAACAAAAGAAAAGCAATGTCCTATCAAAGACGATGTGAACATTGATCAACAAGATGAAATATTATCCTCTAAAGTTACGTAAGTTAAGTAAACATAAAGTGAGTCATATATTTCTATCGTTGAGATCATGGATCAATTGAAGATAGACCACCATGGAAAACCTGGAAATACAGGACTGTCGTCTCGTCCTATTATCTGACTCTTCGACAGTGCATATTCACGATCCCGCCTAAGGGACTCGAACCCACAACCTATTAGTCTCGAGTAGGAGCGCTTAACATCTAGACCATTGAGTCGGCATCCGATGGTGTTAATGTTTAACTTCCTGGGTGCTGGGTTAGAATCTCGCGTGTTGGATCTTGGATGCGCACTGCTGTGGAGTCCCACAATAGGACGAAACGGCCGTCCAGTGCTTCCAGGTTTTCCATGGTGTTCCAGCTTCAATTGACTCATGCTCTTAACTATTAAAACTACCATCATATCCACAAAAGTCCCTTTCTCATTTCTTTATATTTAGAGAAAACTAACATGATTCAACGAAGACCATTCGAAAATTACACATCTATTTAACTGATACAAATTTTATTGGTTTTGATATTTTTCAAAAAGCAATAAATAGATGGTATCAATCAAATAATGAATTTAAGTATATGGTTACGAAGTTAATTCATTTAACCGATTTTCAACATCCCCTAACATCAAACAAACAATCCATCTCATCATTATCATCATCACCACCTCCATCAGGTGATAATATTGAAACATTAATTGCCAAGGCAACTAGAAGAAACACTATAGTCTATTCAACAACAGCTGAAAATGAAGATTTACAACAGTTAATGAATATGTTTAAACCATTCTTTAAAAGTGATACCATAATATCCATGGATACAAATAATACTCAAATTGATCATCATATTCTAACCTTGAATGACTATTTAAACAAATTTGATCGTTGGATTAATAAAACTAAAATGATCAATGAATCTATAAACAAAAGACGGGCAAAGTTCAATTATATTCATCTCATCAATGAACAGTTGATTCAGTTGGATAATCATTTAAGAGTCGTTTTCGAAAACTATCCTTTGTATACTTGTGAAGGATTACCTAATAAAGTCATTACATTTATGGAACTTCTTGTAACTCAGGTAAGATCTTCCAAGATATTTTGTTTCGGTAATATAGTTGCTCAAATTACTTAAGCATGTCGTCTGTCTTCCATAGAGGTAAAATAGCATCCAGTTTAATGGAGTCGTCAGATTTCCTTTTTTTATAATCGATAAGTTTCATCATATTTGATCGGACTTTCACGGGGATCTGGCAGTAGACTAAAACATCCATTATCCAGTGATAGGTTTCACTTAAATAGTCATTAGATTTGACAGTGAATGATGTGCATCCAACCACCATGGGGAGCATCAGTTCCCTCAAAATTGTAGGCATGATGAAAAATGCTGAGAATTCTATATCAAATCAAAAATATAATATTGAATAATAATAATAATAATATCTAGATCTAAGTCCTCCTGCTGATTGCTTCGAACTAGCTTATACCTAATCAAATTCCCAGGGATATTGAATCATTTTGACCAATGGTCACATTACATTTTGATCAATAGAATTTCACTACCTCAAAGAAATCACCATCTCTAATCCAGTTTCTATTCATCGATTAACTAGTGAAGGTAAGAAGATACTTTTCTCAGGATTTACCATTTTATTTTATATGCGACAATTTGATGTGTGGGCGAGGATGACAATGATTGGTTGTCATGATGAGTCAGATATTAGATAGAATGACAGGTGTTATATGTGTCATATATATATATATTCCCCTATCATTATTATGTATTGACTGTTCCTTGTTGATGGACACTTATTGATTGACTGTTCTTTGTGTCGGATTTTGGTGTGGAAATATATTGACGTTATAGTCAGGCTAATCTCGTGTTCTTGATCTGAGTTGGGTTGAAGTCCTGTAGAATAGACACTGGGTGGGAATCTAGTGTAGATATTCGTCTAAGGTAAATTAGCGTCTCACATACGTGTAACAAGTGAAAGGACTGTTATAACCAGAAATCGCTAGAGTTATAATCAGCATCCTACGTTTATAACAATTGGCGACGACATCCTTATTGTTATAACAATTGATTAAAACGGATCTACGCTTATAAATTCCGTTAAAGTGAATTTTTGTATCAACAAAATGGATGATCTGAAAATCATATTGCAGCATCAAAATTCTTTAATCGAATTGTTAGTCAAGAATATGCAGATATCCTCAAGAACGGATGTGTCTAATTCCATTATGACTCCGGATACTATTGCAAATTCAATAACTGAATTTAGATTTGATCCATAAAGTGGAGTTACTTTTGAGGCGTGGTTTAAACGCCATGAGGATTTATTTATTAATGAATGTAAAGAGTGGGACGAAAGCTCAAAATTGAGATTATTATTAAGAAAGCTCGGAGTGTCCGAACATGAAAAATTCTGTAATTTTATCCTCCCAAAAAAGCCAACCGACATAACGTTCAAAGAAACAGTTGAATGCCTGGCACGCATATTTGGAGAACGGTCATCAATTTTTCACACTAGATACCAGTGTCTTCAACTTGTAAAGAAAGTACAGGACGATTATGTAACGTATGCAAGTATCGTGAACCGGGAATGTGAGCGGTTCCGTTTACAGGAAATGTCCTCAGATCAGTTCAAATGCCTTATTTTTGTATGTGGGTTACAATCTTCAGTAGATGCAGATATTAGAACACGGATTCTAGCGAGAATCGAGCAAGATCCTAATATCAATCTACAATCAGTATCTGAAGAATGTCAAAGAATGGTTAATTTATAGCATGACACGAATCTCGTAGAAAGGAACAGTGAACACGCGGGAGTTAATGCTTTACGTAAATCTTTAAATGGAAATAAAGATTCGAACTCCCAGAAAATCCCAAATCAAGTGCAACCTTAAACGTCATGTTGGCGATGTGGTAAGTCTCATCTTGCCAATGTTTGCTACTTTAAAAAACGAGTATGCTTTTAATGTGGTAAATATGGTCATGCTCAAATATGTTGTAAAAGTAAACCAAAGGTTTCTGACCGTGAGCATAAGTTCTGTAAAAGAAATATTATGCAGACTTCAAAAGTAATGCCGTATAACTCAAATGTTGTTCTGGCCACAAAAAGTGACCGATTCTTATCCAAAAGGAAATATGTAACCATCTTTTTAGATGGCAAACCGGTCAAACTGCAAGTCGATACAGGGTCTGACATAACGTTAATTTCTAAAGAAACTTGGATTAAAATTGGTCGACCCCGATATCAACCTACATGTTATAATGCCAAGAGTGCATCAGGAACTAATATTACTCTTCTTGGAGTAATGTAGCTACCTCTCATGTTTGGTGAAAAGACTATGACCGGGAAATGTTGCGTATCTGGGATCTGTAATGCCAACCTATTGGGTATTGATTGGATTGATAAATTTGGTTTGTGGGATTTACCGTTGAATGTACCGAAAGTAGAATCCCAGCCATGGCCTGAAACGACAAAGCCTTGGGTCCGACTACACGTTGATTATGCTCCACCCATGAAAGGACAATATTTTTTGGTGGTGGTAGATTCGTACTCAAAATGGCCTGAAATTTATGTTGTACGAAGACCATCTACGTCTGAAACACTGCTACAACTGAGACAACTATTTGATAACGGAACGCAGTTCACATCGTTAGAGTTTGCGGAGTTCTGTAAACAAAATGGAATCGAACACATTAGAACTCCACCGCATCACCCTAAGTCGAACGGGCAGGCAGAGAAATTTGTTGATATTCTTAAACGAGCTCTCTTAAAAATGGGAGGAGAAGGCAACGTAGAAGAGGCTCTGCAACAATTTCTCATTTCTTATAGAGTTACACCGAGTCCAAACTGTCAAGACTGGAAATCAATAGCTGAAATAACGTTTGGCAGACCGATTAGAACAATTTTTGATGTTTTGAACCCGAAAGACAGAATCAGTGGACTACAAAAAAATAAGAGAAGGAATTGCCCGAAAATTCGAGAATTCAGAGCACGTGACTCAGTCTATGCACGGGATTTCCGGCCTAGCAAGCTAAAATGGATATTTGGGTTCATAAAATAACGACGTGGTACAGTATTATATGAAGTGATGGTCGAAAATACACTAATTATTAGACACGTGAATCAACTGCGAGATAGAAAATGCCTTTATGAGTCATCTAAACTCAAACCATTACCAATGGAAGAATTATGTGATACTTTTAATATTCCACCACCACCACCACAAGTTGAAATGGGAAAAAATGATCTAGAATCAGAAGTTAGACGAAGGTCATTCAGGAAACGGAAACAAACGAAATTTTTTCAAGTAGACCCCAAAGTGAAATCATACGATCAAACTTCGCGAGGGAGGTGATGTGTGGGCGAGAATGTCAATGATTAGTTGTCTTGATGAGTCAGACATCAGATAGGATGACAGGTGTTATATGTGTTATATATATTCCCCTATCATTATTATGTATTAACTGTTCCTTGTTGATGGACACTTATTGATTGACTGTTCTTTGTGTCGGATTTTGGTGTGGAAATATATTGACGTTATAGTCAGGCTAATCTCGTGTTCTTGATCTGAGTTGGGTTGAAGTCCTGTAGAATAGACACTGGGTGGGAATCTAGTGTAGATATTCGTCTAAGGTAAATTAGCGTCTCACATACGTGTAACAAGTGAAAGGACTGTTATAACCAGAAATCGCTAGAGTTATAATCAGCATCCTACGTTTATAACAATTGGCGACGACATCCTTATTGTTATAACAAAACTACAGAACGTCTTCGTAAAATCTAAGATCCCTAAAGTAAGTACTTCATTAGCAAAATGTCAATCAATCGTGTAAAACTTCATTATTCTTTCGTTTTCACACCAATCATCCTCATTTCTTCGATCTTCTCAACCTTCTACTGCCAGGTATTTTACTTTCCATTGATGATACATACTAGTTATATCTGTTGACATCAATAGTACACACCATATTATAAACAACCTCTGTTTTAAAACTATAACGTGTTGATTGAACTTGCTAATATCATTTAAATTGGTTCATAAATGTACTAAATGCATTTATTGTTCAAATTAATTCATTTTTAAATCCTCATTTTAAGCGCAAAATCATATAAATGAATATAAGATATTCATTTATGGATTGTGAACATTGGATTTAGCCTTCCCCTTATTGTTTAAATGAATGTTCTTTTTCCAAGAACAATAACCCTTCATCTTGATTAAAACTCACAATTGAAACAATGTAAAATAGAAATCATGAGATCATTAATAATCATGTGAATAAAAATGTTTGCCCAATGTACGTAAACACACACACACACACACACACTCGTACACATGTACAATGTGACATTTTAATGATCATTTTAATATAAAATAACAAGAAACAATAAGTCGTCTACATAACGAACCCTTATTTTCACCTTGATCACTGGTAAGATCGAGGCTTCCAGTCTGTGCATCACTGCTTTTGTCCTATGTTGATGTTGAGTTAAGTAGACAATGACAAGCTCGATTTCAACCATAACCATTCGGGATCAAGGTCGATAGGACAAGCTGTGGGTCGGACGCAGGAACGTTCGAACTTTTGACGTCTACCTGAAGTTTGTGCTGGTGATGTTGTCGAGAAAGGCAATGAAAGCTCCACGACCAATTTATCCAGCTCAGAGAACAAACTCCACTAAAATTATCCACCTCAGCCATAAATCCTTTCCATCATCTCAAGATTATGTAAGTATAGCATGCTTCTCGGTGTTCGAATATGGAGGAAGTTTGCCAAAAAACAGACTTCTACTCTAACTTAAAACTCATTAAATAACACAATTGAAACAATGTAAAATAGAAATCATGAGATCATTATTAATCATGTGAATAAAAATGTTTGCCCAGTGTGTACATACACACACACACACTCGTACAATGTGACATTTCAATGATCATTTTAATACAACATGAGGAGTTAAAACAAAAATTAAAAGTCAATAAGAGCATTAATGAATTCATAAGAAATCGAAGTTTCCAAGTGAGTTTATAGAAAGTCAAACAACACTGAAATAAAAGTGTAAGTCCATTATTTAGAATCATGTTGGGGGGGCCTAGGATCTGACTCCTATTTAGATCTTATGAATGATTGTTGTCAAAATATGCATTCTGTCCATCCTCGTGTATGTAATACATGATTTAATCCGCATCCACGAATAACGGAGTTAAATAGGAGAATGGATTTTATATATATATTTTGTACATTTATTGATTTGGACAGGAAATCAGAGGGATGAAGCAAATAGAAGAGAGCGAAACGAAAATGACACGCATCGGAGATGGTGGGTAAGCCAAGTCGCTTTAACAAATAGTTCATCAATATTTATAGTCAGACAAGAATAAATGACAAACATGTAATGAATAGGATAAGAAGGCGTACACACACATACACTCATACAAAAAAAGTGGTCAGGGTTAATAAGTGAATAATGAACAAGGTGAAAACATGATGCAAGATGAATAGGGTAAATTGGCTTGTCCAGAAGCTACAATATGGTATATGGGCTTAACATATCAACTGACACTACAAATCACAAGGATCAGTTTGTACTATGAATCAAATAAGTGTTATACTACTCGACATTTAACTAATAAACAGTTAAAAACACAATGTATAAATATTTACTAATAACTTTAAACACCTCCTATATTTATCATAGTCTCTAATCTAACTAAAATTGTTACATTAC